AGTCTTAGTGGTCAGCTCCTGGCTCCTATTTCACCCAGCAGCTAGAGCTCCAGGTCCTGGGTTCACCTTCAGACTTCCATTCCACTGTAAGTAAACCTGCCATACTCTACCAGTTCTTAGTCAATCATACTGTGAGCCAAGCACAAGCTACATGAGAGTAGCCAACAGCAAGAGAGTACTAGGGTGGGTACAGCCCAATGGTGACTATCAGCTGGAAACTTTTGACTGTATTTACCAATCTCTAGAAGATCAACTTCCTAATAACACACAATAGCAAACGAGCAAACCAAAAATGCAAGTAGGCTTGGGAGCTGGATATGTGAAAAGTCTGAGACAGAATGGTAGCCACCAGAGCACCAAGAGAGACTAATGTAAACGTAGGCTCTGTCTCTGAGCAAATAGATCCAGTGTTATCAGAACTAGATTAAACTGTGGGCAAAACCTGCTGAAAGGCATGGGGGAGGGAACCTACAACTAAAACCACCCATGAACACGATAAAGGGAAGGAAGGTGGATCCTACTTACAAACAGAAAATTAAAACTAAAGACCCTGGACAGTTTTGAGAACATGGAGGTGGGAGATGATCAGCCCAGAGAAAATCAGTTTAGGCAGTTAGGGCAGTGACTTCTCCCAGAGTTTAGGATTGTCCACCTGAACCATTTCATTGGTTGGTAATGGCCAGATTACCAGTGACAACCCTTCCTCAATTTACTTTGTAAAACATCTCTTTCTGGAGCGCCTGGGTGGCTCAGTTGGTTAAGCATCTGCCTTCAGCTCAGTCATGATCCTGGGGTCCTGGGATCAAGCCCCGCATCAGGCTACCTGCTCAGTGGGGAGTCTACTTCTCCCTCTCCCTCTCCCTGCTGATCCCCCTGCTTGTGCTCGCACTCTCTGTCAAATAAATAAATAAAATCTTTTTAAAAAATCTTTCTCACAACTCAAAAATATTACAACAAAATAAATAGTCTTCCAAGCTGTGTAAACTTTACCTAGTGATATCAGAATGAAGTTCCCTTTTGGTGGCGAAAGCTGAGTGGATTTATTTCCGCTTACCATAAACTATCAGCTATGAAGCTACTAAATATAAAGGTGGCTGCCTTCCATTTGATCCTAGCATAAACCCTGCTCCCATCATGGCTGAAAGATATAATTTTCACTAGTTCTTAGGAAGCTTTAGGTGGATCTGGTCCAATTTTAAGTAATCATAAGAAGTACTAAAGGTATTGCAGAATGGTAGACTGCATAGCAAAATGAAATTTCTTTTAAATATCTAATTCTGAGCACCTGGCTCAATCCATTAAGTTCAGTTGGTTAAGAGTCGGTGCTCTTGATTTGTCTCAGGTCATAATCTTGGGGTCATAAGATCAAGCCCCACGTTAGGCTGCTCACTCAGTCAGTGCTAAGTCTGCTTGAGATTCTTTCCCCCTCCCTCTCCCTCCCTCTCTGCTCCTCCTACCAGTCTCTCAAATAAATAAATAGAATCTTTAAAAACAAATAAATAAATATTTAAGTCTGAATAAAATAGTACCAAAAATTTAACATTCCTCCCTAAAATTACCCCCTCCCAAAATGAGTTGTTTGCTATATCAAGCTAACAAACTTGCCTAAATTTATTTCTGGACAGCTCCTTATCGCAGTGATATCCTCTACTTGGTTACTTTTGTTAGAAAAAGCAACTTTTGGGACACCTGGGTGGCTCAGTGGTTGAGCATCTGCCTTGGGCTCAGGGCACAACCCCAAGTCCCAGGATCGAGTCCCATATCCGGTTCCCTATGGGGATCCTGTTTCTCCCTCTACCTGTGTCTCTGCCTCTCTCTTTGTTTCTCTCATAAATAAATAAAATCTTTAAGAAGAAAGAAAAAGCAACTTTTTTCTAATAAAAATGTGATTTAGAACAGTGCCTTTGGGGTTCAGCCCAGCTACCCCATTTACTAAGTGACACTGGCAAGCTTCCTAAAGTCTCCAAGTCTACATTTCTTTCTTTCTTTCTTTCTTTCTTTCTTTCTTTCTTTCTTTCTTTCTTTCTTTAATGGTTTTATTTATTTATTTGACAGAGGGAATACATGAGCACAAGCAGGGGGAGGGGCAGGCAGAGGGAGAGGTAGAAGCAAGCTCCCCGTGTAGTAGGAAGTCCGATGCAGGACTTGATCCCAGGACCCTAGGATCATGACCTGAGCTGAAGGCAGACACTTAACCAACTGAGCTACCCAGGGCACCCCTACATTTCCTTATTTATAAAATAGGGTTGCTTTCTACTTCTCAGGTTTGTGGTAAGAATTAAATGTAGCGATCTTTGTGAAACACTTAGCATGGAGCCCAATGACACAAAATCTGACAGGGAGCAAGCTCACCATAAATGGGAGTGATCATTATCTATATATTCTAAAGACATTCCAGCATCTAGCTCTACAGAGAAAAGTAATTGTAGAACCTTCCTTGGGGTGGTACATGCAAACCAATGTGAGTGTTTTAAACACAAGCTGCAGATGATGATGAGACATAGCCCCGGGGTAGAACAGGAGATAAAACTGGATGCTAGGAAGGGTTTCGTTTGGAAAGGTCAAGTTGGGGTACATGGGGGAGGAGGTGTGTGTGAGGATGTGCAGGTAAAGAAAACATGAATAGGATGTATTTTAGGAGCATAAGAGAGACAGAGCCTCCAAATCTCTCTTCTACCTGTCCTTGATTCCTGAAATTAAACCCTTCTTTTAGGGCTAGGTACTCTTAAACAAAGACCCTCTTGGAAAAGCTAACACTTGAAGCTACAATTAGTCATTTATCTTTCAGTCCAAGTTTCAAACTATTTTTTGGGAGGCTTTGATGGGTGACATGTGGGGGCCCTGGGCACCCAGGGTTGGGGCAGAGGCTCAAGCAGGGAGGAGAAATGAGAGCTGGGACCCTGAAGGGCACGGACCTAGAGGGACTCACCTGGGTGTGGGGTGCACATTACACACCTCTTGTGTTCCATCTTGACAGAAACAGCACAGGATTTATACCATTGCACATGACTTGGTAACTCACTACGCACACATTAATGGCTGACAGTTTGGCCACGTCTCCATCAGTTACATACAGTTGGACAATCTCCTCCAACACTGATGGTGCTATGGGGCTAAATTCAGGCTTCACCTAATTCAGTGACTATGACTATGACTCCCACTCCTTATACATGGAACTTTCCAAAACTGCTCATCATCAGCCTTAAGCTACGTGTGGGGGTGTAGGGGGTGGGGGAAGAGAGATGTTTTATGTTGGGATCAAGTTCAGCCCTAAATCCATCTAGGTATATCTCTTAATGAAATAGTAATAGCAATTAACATTTATCATTCATTCCTCATACAAGTATTTATTGAGTACCTGCTATCTTGGAGTTGATGTTTCAGTGAGGGGAGACAAATTAAGAGTCATACCTGGTGCCCAATGGCACTCGTGCTGTGGAGAAGAATAGAGCCTAGGAAGAGTATGACAAAAAAACCTCAGCAGGAGGGAGGGTGGCTGGCTCTTAGACTCGAAGATAAGGGTGAGGGTGGCTGGCTCTTAGACTTGGGAGGTAAGGATGGACCTTGTGAAGGGTGAATGCACACTTGGTGTGACAGAGGCCCAGCCCAGTGAAGGCAAGGAGAATGGTAGAAGGTGAGGTTAGAGAGGCAGCAGGCCCAGGGCCCAGACAGCATGAGTGCCAGGTAAAGACTTCAACTTTTGCTCTGAGACAGATGAGAAGCCAAGGGAGTTCTGTACCAAGGACTAACATGAACTGATTTATATTTTAGAAGGATCTTCTGGTGGCTGTGTTGAGAAGAGACTGTAGAAGGAGAAGGGTGGGTATGGAAAGAGCTGGTTAGGAGACTGTAACCATAATCCAGAAGACACACAAGAGTGGCCCAGACTAGTGTGGTGGCCACAGAGACGAACAAACTGTTTAGGTTCTAGATTTATTCAGTGGAGCTGACAGTGATGGGCTGGATGTGAGAGAGGTTGAGAATGACTCCTAGGTTTGGGCCTAAGTGAACAGATGGATAAAAGTGCTTTTTGGGATGAGAAAGCCTTGAGGAATAGGTGTGCATATACAAGGTGGGGAGGAACCGGGGACAGGTAGAGGAATTAGCAATTTGGTTTAGGATATATCAAATTTAAGAAGTCTAACAGAAATCTAAGAGATGATGTCAAATACACAGAGCTCAGAGCTGTTAGGAAACGTGCCCCAAGTCCCACAGCCAGTAAGTGGCAGGGCTTTGAGTCCAGGTCTGTGGACCTCAGGGTCTGGGCTGGGCAATGAATGGGGAAGAAGACAAGGGCTTTGCAACCAGAGATGGTCACTATGTCAAGAAATCATCAGTAAGCTTAAATAATAGGCTTTTTAGCAATTCAGTCAGGGAAATTTGTAGAAAAGTTGTTCCCAAATACAGAGTATACTTCCATGCAAGGAAGACTAAAGTCCCCATTACATCCTCTGTAACATGTAACAGGCTCACATTGCTACTTTCTCAAGTTTCAAAAGAACAAAACAAAAAACAATTCCACCCTCTCCCTGTTGAGTCTCTGAATGCAGCCGGACAGAGATTAAAAAGGGACTCAGACACAAAAGGCCTCCAGAGGGGCACCTGGGTGGCTCAGTGGTTGGGCATCTGCCTTCAGCTCAAGACATGATCCCAGGGTCCCAGGATCAAGTCCTGCATTGGGCTCCCTGCATGAAGCCTCCTTCTCCCTCTGCCTATGTCTGTGCCTCTCTCTGTGTGTCTTAAATAAATAAATAAATAAATAAATAAATAAATAAGCCTCCAGAAAACAGTTCCTTGTCCTAGTTATACCAGAGAGTTTGTCCTGCGAAATCTCTCCCCACAGCTGTGCTAGGTAAGATGTTTTCCACCCGAGACAATGAATGTTCCTCAGAGAGGTGCTATCGGAAGGGAGAGAGACAAATGAACAACATACCCATAGTTATCAGGATGTTTCTGTGTGTGTGTGTCAATGTTAGCTTGTTTTAAACCCTGCTTCTTACCTGAATCCACATCAGAAGAGCAAGGAATAGAAAGCGCTTCCTCTGAGCTGAAAGCCTCGCTGCCGGCCTCCTGCTGGGGTCTCTGCAGAATGTAATCTCTTATGTCATAAACCGATGGCAAGTCCAACACACTGCTCTCCTCTGACTGGCTGCCTGGAGTGGCTTCCTGGGTCGCCATAGTCCTGCTACAGAAAAAAACAATTTCATACAAAAGGCATGGCACAAGAGGAGCCGCCATTTTGGCCACAGCTTGAAGGGCAAAAGTTCCAGCTTCTGCCACTTAAAGTCCCAGGAGGCTTTACTTTCCTGTTAATAACAGTCTTCCCTGTCCTACTTTAGCCCTAGTATGTGCTTACCACGTTTCTTCATCAGGAAAAACAAATGCTCTCGGCACAGAAAGAAACCATTGATAATTTCAGTTGGAGGGGCATCTGGGTGGCTCAGTGGGTTAAGCATCAGACTCTTAGTTTCAGCTCAGGCCATGATCTCAGGGTCCTGAGATTGTGAGGTCTATTTGCAGATTCTCTCTCCCTCTCCCTCTGCCCCTCCCACTCATGCACTCTCTCTCTCTCCAAAATAAACAAATCTTAAAAATATATAAAATAATTTCAGCTGGAGAATAAGCTCCATGTCTGATAACGATGAAACACTGTGCGGCACTATAATCCAAGAACTACAAGAATACTTAATGAGAAAAGAAACTGTTTATGACATATCATGTGGAAAAAAGATTTCTAAACAATAGGTAGAATTTGATCCAGATTTTATAAAATACAATATCGTGTGTGTGTTTATGTGCGAAAAAGAGAGAGAGCAAGAGAGAGAGAGATCTACAGATCTATAGCTTTAAAAAAAAGCATCTGGAGGGGTATATTCCAAATTAATTTCAATGGTAATTAATTCGGGGGTTTAATTTTTTTCTTTTTTTTTTTAAGATTCTATTTATTTATTCATGAGAGACACACAGAGAGAGAGGCAGAGACACAGACAGAGGGAGAAGCAGACTCCATGCGGGGAGCCCAACGTGGGACTCGATCCCAGGTCTCCAGGATCACACCCTGGGCCGAAGGCGGCACTAAACCGCTGAACCACCCAGGCTACCCAGGGGTTTAATTTCTGAACACTGAGATTATAGGTGACTTGTATTTTTATCTGTGGCCTACTGAAACATGCATTCAGTCAATTATTTAACATGCCAGGTCCTGGATATACAAAGGTGAATGTAATAGACCCTTCTTCAAGTTGCTCACAGTTTGGGCCAATCCAAAACAGAGACATACCACGTAAACAGAAGGACAAGACAAAGAAGAACCCAAAAAGGGACGGTGAGCTTTCTAGACGGGGTTATCCCCAAGCAAGGGACAGGCCAGACCATAACCAGCAGACAGCATAAATACCAGTAGAACCAGCTTGGGCAACCACAAGTGGCATGGGTGTCAGGAGTTTAAAGTGAGAGTCAAAGAACAGTTGTGTGTGGGCAACTGGGGAAGGGCAACCCTGTGGTTTCAGCTAGATGACCGTGGGGCTCTCCCCTATTCCTACCTCAGCTCTGGGAAGGCAGCATGGTCTGGCTGCTGTCAGCAACGTGCATATACACACTCTCCAGCTGAGTTGTAGATAGACTACAAAGGTGGCTTACTGGGTTCACATTTGGACATTCCTTGTTAAAAATTAAGTAGGGCAGCCCAGGTGGCTCAGCGGTCTAGTGCCTGCCTTCGGCCCAGGGCATGATCCTGGGGACCCGGGATCGAGTTCTGTGTAGTGCTCCCTGCATGGGGCCTGCTTCTCCCTCTGCCTGTGTCTCTGCCTCTCTCTCTCTCTCTCTGGTCTCTCATGAATAAATAAATAAAATCTTAAAAAAAAATTTAAGTGTTCCCTGGGGCACCTGGGTGGCTCAGTGGTTGAGCATCTGCCTTTGGCTCAGGTTGTGATCTCGGAGTCCTGAGATTGAGTCCCACATCGAGTTCCCCACAGGGAGCCTGCTTCTCCCTCTGCCTGTGTCTCTGCCTCTCTCTCTCTGTGTCTCTCATAAATAAATAAATAAAATATTTTTAAAAAATATTAGGTGCTCCTAAAAGAATAAAATAAAATAAAATTAGGTGTTCCTTACCCTCCCTCCCCTGTTCACGTTTACTTGTGGATGCTGGTTTCTCTGCTGGAGGGTTCTTTACAATGAACTCAGCCCTGCCCACCTCTATCAAATAACTATGGGCCTAAGGAGATCATAAGCCCTCTGCAACTCTCTGTTTCATAAATTACTGTCATCAACAAATCATATTAGAGCCAACACTATGCATTTTGCCTGCCATGGGCCACCATGCACCATGCAGAGGAGCTACACAGTCAGATCTACAGATTTGGCAGCTGGATAGGAGATGGATTTGCAGGGCTTCAGTCCAGTGGCAGGCAATCTGAGAAGCAACAGGAATTCCTTCACTTGCCATGGTCCTGGTAAGAGAGGAGGAGCCTGTGTATGAGGGCAAGGTACACAAGAGGAGGGGACAGATTAAGTAACATATTTAGGAACTAAAATGAGAATAGAATTTAATAACTAAATGGATAAAGGAGCTAAAGAGAAAGTGAGAGTCAACAAGGAGTGAGAGCTTCGACAGCTGGATTTGTTTTATCTACTGAGTTAGAGAAAACTAGAGGAGGAATGGTTTTTGGGAGGAGGCAGTAATCCAAACTATGGAACACTGAGCAGCTGTGAAAAATGACATCTGGAACTTGAAAGATCTCAAAGACACATGTTTGAATGAAACAAGCAATTTCAGAAAACATGAATAGTATAATAATAAGACTAGATAACATTTATCCAGTGTTTGTTGGATGCCAAGCATTGTGCTAAGAGCCCTATGAAGCATGTCATCCTACTATTACCCTATGACCACAAGCAGACAGTCAGACCCAGAGGGAGGTAGGGTAACTTGCCCAAAGAAATTCATCTAAGAAGTACCAACCTAGGATGAACCCAGCTCCAAGACCTCCCAGGCTTTTGCGTCTGCACAGCCCAAAGTACCACCTGATCAGGCAAAGGCAGGGGTGTATAAAAACAAATCAGCAGCGAGGCCTGGCAAGATTCTTCTTGTTTGAGGACACCCGGTCACATGCTGCTGTGAACATTCACTTAGGCAGAGAGTGAGCCAAGATAGCAGCTGATTGCTTCTGAAAGAAGCAGAGGGATCAAGGTTCCCAAAGAAGCAAGAACATCCTGTCTCTTCACACATGTTATATCAGCCAATCAAGCCTGAAGTATCAGCAGACACCTCTGCCACAGGCATTGGTGTCTCTTCCTTCTCCCGTCATGTGACCAAACACTGCTCTGGAAGCTCCTGGGAGGGAAAAAACAGGTCAGTGAAGGACAGCAGTATATCCTGCCTGCCTGAAAAGAAGACTTTGATATTGACCCTCAAGCAAGAGTGTTGTTAGTGATACAAATGGAAAAAATCCCTCTTGAAAACAAGTAGCACGGTGATGTGACATCCATCTTTTCTTTTAGAAGCATTTGGTATTAAATGCCAAATATGTTCCAAACTGGGCATTTGAAAGAAAAGAAAAGAAAGAAAAGAAAAGAAAAGAAAAGAAAAGAAAAGAAAAGAAAAGAAAAGAAAAGAAAAGAAAAAAGAAAGAAAGCAAGCAAGCCTACTGAAAGGCAAAATCCTGTTTATTACAAAGTCAGAGCCTGTGAATGCAAAATACCTGGAAGTCTGAGTTTGCACAGGAGAAAGCCAAGTACTAGGGACAGATGAGACCCTTTCAATGGTCTGCAAACACCTAAGCTGACAAATAGAATGCAATGATTATCTTTGCGCTACAACTTTTAATGGGTGGTTCTACTTCCTTCTCCAGAAGAGCTTATTATCCTCTCTTAAAAGTACTTTAATTACACAATGTAAGCATTCTTTTCCAATACTGGAGAGGTAGAGACACAAAAAGTCTCTCAGTACGTTACAAGCTGCTTGCTGAGCAAAGACAGCCATTTTTCCGTGACTATAGACCCTTACAGACCTACAAATCCTAGTCAGTCAAGGTCCCACCTAAAAAACCATTTAACTTCAACTTTTTTCTCAATCACGGCTCTTCCTTCCCAACATTTTACATGAAAATGTTCGAGCATGAAGAAAAGTGGAAAGAATCATCCAATGAACATCTCCATACCTGCTGTCTAGAATTTACAATTAACATTCATACTACTATCATACTACTATGATTTTCCTTAACACAAAACTATCCATCTACCCAACTCTCTATTCACCTGTCAGTTCATCTTTATGTATATATTTCCATTTAAATGTACTGAAAGCTTCTGAGTTAGTGTGTGATATGATCAATCTGTGTTTCCAATGCTCACGCTGTCAGCTAAATGAAGCATGGGTTGGAAGAGGGTATAAGTGAAGCAGGGAACACAACTGGGGAGCTCTGCAGAAAGGTCCAGAGATGCGTAGTGCCTTTGAAGTGAGAGACTCGGGTTTGCACCCCTACTGTCACTTTTTAGCTGTGTCACCTTGGGCAAGTCACTCTCAGTTTCCTCATATATAACAATGACCTAGGGTGATGCCTGACTCTTGATTTCAGCTCAAGTCATGATCTCAAGGACCTGAGGTCAAGCCCCAACCAGCGTGGAGTCTGCTTAAGATTCTCTCTCTCTCCATCTCCTCTGCCCCTCCCCCTGCCACTCACACTCATGCATGTGCCCTCTCTTTAAATACATAAATAAATAAATACAACCTTTTAAAATAATGGCTTGATGACTATGCTTACCTCATATAGTTGTCATAGGAATTATATGAAATTAATGCATGTAAAATACTCAGTACAGAATGCATGCTCAGTAATGTCTAGCTCCAATAAGTGCAATAGTAATAATTAAGAAACAATTTACAGGCTCCTATCTTCTCAGCCTACCCTCACCATCTATTTGCCCTTCTATTTCCCATTCAGCACCCATATTACTTCTTTCATCCTTATCCAGTGTATTCTATAGTTCATCATCTGGTTAGTACCCTAAACTTCCCTTCCCTAGCCATTCTGTCCTTTTATCACACTCCTTTGACAAAACACCAGCCTAGATGAACTCAACTTACCTACCCACTCTCAGGCGCTAGCCCTGAGTCACTACATAGAACAAGCTGGCTCACCCTAAAATGAATGAGCATCAGCTTGAAATGGGCTGTCTGGCCACATGAATCTTGAGGTGTTTATCTCATAACCCCTTGACTCTCATGTTTTCTCCAGTCTTCTTCAAGTCAGACCCTTCCCATCTCTCACATACCTTTCTGCTCTTTTCAGTAGATCTGCTCACTTCCTGACAAAGGAAACGGAATCCTGCAGAGAGGAACCTCCTCCACTCCCCTATCAAACACAGCCAAGACTCCCACTTTTGTCCACTACTTCAGTTCTCTTCACCATGGAGAGCTGTCTCTCCTGGGGCAGAGTCCAATGCTTCCACTTACTCCTTAAATCCCACTCTCTGGACCCTTCATCAGGCCTTCAGTAATGACCCCCCTCTCCCACTTCTGCTCCACTGGACCTACACTTAAATTTTTCAATATGCCTAAATCACTCCCATTTTCAACAAAACCTGGTACATAGGAGAATGTCCTTGTTCTTTGAAAATGCCACTCAAATATTCATTGGTAGGGGGACATGATGTGTGCAACATACTCTAAAATAGTTGTAAGTGTGTGTGTGAAAGAGAATGAGAATGATAAAGTAAATGGATGGGGCAAGTAGAGACAATTGGTAGACCTGGAAAATATTATTTGGGAGTTCTCTATACTAATCTTGCAATTTTTTGAAGGTATAAAATCACATCAACATTAAAAGTTGCCAAGAAAGAAAAAAAGTGAAAAGAAAATCTTTAGCACCTGCCCTCCCCATAGCAAGTCTCCTCTCCCTTCCACAAACTTCTCAAGAATCTAAATTGGGGGATCCCTGGGTGGCGCAGCGGTTTGGCGCCTGCCTTTGGCCCAGGGCGCGATCCTGGAGACCCGGGATCGAATCCCACGTCGGGTTCCCGGTGCATGGAGCCTGCTTCTTCCTCTGCCTATGTCTCTGCCTCTCTCTCTCTCCCTCTCTGTGACTATCATAAATAAATAAATAAATTTAAAAAAAAAAAAAAAGAATCTAAATTGGCTCATTTTCTGAGCTCCACCAACTCAATCACTCTTGCATATAACTTCTAGAAACTCTGTCATCCTTTGTTTGCTTTTCAGGGAGCCCTTCTCCTGACCATCTTCCCATCTGTTTGCCTTCATTCCTTCCTGCCTGCTCTGTGGCTCATCCTCCATCCCCAACTGGACTTCCTCCATGTTTAGTCCAAGGCTCTCTCTTCTTTCCTCCTCTAAGACATTAATCACCATCCAGAAATTTCTCTCTAGCCCGGATACTCCACTGCTTTCCAGGCTTCAAGCATTATGGCTTTCCTTCAGGTTCTCCAACAAGCCCCATTTCCTCCCACTGCACTTATCCTTCCCACGCCTAGATAACTCTACTAAAAAATGGAAGAGGAGGGAACACGTCCCAATTTAAGTCCAGGACAAAGATATCACAAAAAACTACAGATCAATATTATGAAACAAAAATCCTTGACAGAATACAGCAAACCAAACTCAGCAAAACATAAAAAGGATTTTACTCCATAATCAAGTGGAACTTATCCTAGGAATTCAGGTTGTTTTAATGTCTGAAAATCAATCAATGTAATACACTATATTAGAATAAAAGACAAAAACCACAACACACAGCATTTGATAAAGTCAAATACTTTTTCATGATCAAAATACCCAACAAACCAGAGATAGAAAGGAACTTCCTCCATCTGATAAAAAGCATTTTTTTGAAAAAAAAAAAATGCAGAGCTAGCATCATACTTCATGGTAAAAGACTAAATGTTTTCCCTCTGAGTTCAGGAACAAGATAATGATGTCTGCTCTAATCACTTCTATTCAACATTATACTGGCAGTTTTAGCCAGCACAATTAGGCAAGAAAATCAGATAAAAGTCTTCCATAAAGATTTTCATACAAAAGAGAAGTAAAACTATTTCTATTAGCAGAAGATGTGATCTTGTGGATAGGAAATTCTAAGGCATCCTCTTTAGAAACCAGTAGACCCATTAAACAACTTAAACAAGATTGTGGAGAGGTACCTGGGTGGTTCAGTGGTTGAGTGACTGCCTTTGGCTCAAGTTGTGATCCTGGGGTCCTGGATCAAGTCCCACTCCCTCCGCCTATGTCTCTGCCTCTGTGTCTCTCATGAATACATAAATAAAATCTTAAAAAAAAACAAAAACCAAGACTGTTGGATATAAGATCAATATAGTAAAAGTATACGCAAATGATTTTACACTAGCAAAATATGTGTAAAAATACTATGTATATTTTTACATATACTAGCAATAAACAATCCTACAATTGAGAACATAATTCCATTTACAATAGCATCAAAAAGAATAAAATACTTAAAATATAATTAATAAAAATGAGTAAGGCATGTACAATAAAAAACAAAACAAAAATATATATATATATATATTGAAAGGAGGTGCCTGGCTAGTTCAGCCAGTAGAGCATATGACTCTTGATCTTGGGGTTAAAAAATCAAGTCCCATGTTGGGTGTAGAGATTACTTAAAAATAAAATCTTTTTAAACATGTTGAAAGAAATGAAAAATCTAAACGAATGAAAATATATCCTACATTTACGATTGGAAGACAATATTTTAAGATGTCAACATGGCTCAAATTGATCTACAGATCAATGTAATTCTTAGCTGCATCCCGGTTGGCTTTTTTTTCTTTTTTGCAGGCATTGACAAAAGTGCTTAAAAAATTCATACAGGGGATCCCTGGGTGGCGCAGTGGTTTGGCGCCTGCCTTTGGCCCAGGGCGTGATCCTGGAGACCCAGGATCGAATCCCACGTCGGGCTCCCAGTGCATGGAGCCTGCTTCTCCTATGCCTGTGTCTCTGCGCCTCTCTCTCTCTCTCTCTGTGACTATCATAAATAAATAAAAATTAAAAAAAAATTCATACAGAAATACACGGGATCCAGAATAGCCAAAACAATCTTGAAAAAAGAACAAACTTTTTTCTTTCAAAACTTACTAAAAAGTCACAATACTCAAGACTGTGCAGTCCTGGCATAAGGATGGACATATAGGCCAACAGGCTAGGACTGAGAGTCCAGAAGTAAAATCTTACAGTTACGGTCAATTGATTTTCCACAGGGTGCCAAAACAATTATGCAGGAAAAGGAAAGGACAGTCTTTTCAACACTGGGACAACTGGATATCCACACAGAGAAAGTCGTTGGCACTTAGAAAAACAGTTCAATAGTGCTTCAAAAGCTTAAATGGGGTTACACTTTAACCTGGCAATTCCACTCCTATGCATATGCTCAAGAGGAATAAAACTACATGTCCACACAAACTTTACACAAGTGTTCGGAGCAGCTTTATCCGTAACAGGCAAGAAGTAGAAACAATCCAAATGTCCGTCAACACGAGTAGATGAATAAAATGGGATATATGCCCACACAGAATATTTTTCAGCTTTATAAAAATATTAAGTTCTAATACATGCCACAAGGACAAACTTTTAAAACATGATACTAAGCGGTAAGAAGCTAGTGTTAGAAAACAGGCAACAGATCCAAAATGGTGTCACTTGTGCTAAACTCCACAACCAATCAGGAATCGCCTGATCAGCCCTCCTTAGGTAATCTTCCAGATAGACCCCTGCCATCCCCTACAGAGGAGTAACCTTGTGATAACCGACTTGCTTTTTTGGCCTAGTGTAACTTCCTTGTTCCTGCTCCCTGCGGCCCTAAGTCTTTCGTTTTGCTCGGCTCCTACCTGCTAGACTGGCTACTGCCCAATTTGAATCGCTTCTGGCTGGAATTACTTACTCAGAACTTTAAATATGCTTCCGTTTATCTGTTGACCACATGTCGAATGAGTCTATTTATATCAAATTCCAAATTGACCGATTTATAGAAAGTAGACTAGTCTACTACTTAGACAGTAAGTCTAAGACTGGAAGATCACGGTGAATGGAACCCACGAACGGGTGCAGGATACTTCTTTGGGGTGATGAAAATGTTCTCTAAAATTACGTTGTGGCGATGGCCGCACAATCCTGGGAATACCTGAAAAGCCACTGAATTTTACATTTTAAACAGATGAGTTTTATGGAATGTGAATCATATCTTTAAAAAGCTGTTTTTTAAAATAAATAAATATGTAAAAATAACAAGCTGGTTTTTAAAAAAGGAGAATAAGGACGGAAGGGCATCCGGTCACACTGCCTGCAAATTTAGGTGATGTCCCCCCAAGAGCTGGCCGCAGAGGCCACGTGTTGTTGGGTTAAGGAGGGAGGTGGGACACCAGGAAGTTGGAACCGTGCCAAGAGAAGCCGCCATAACTTCCCAATTATGAGAGAACGATCTGATGCGTTGCCCAGACCTTCTGCCTACTCCGGATCCCAGGTCACGCCTCAGCCCTCGGAGACAAGTTAATTGAGAAAAACTGCAAAGTCCCCATTAACACTCACCGACCCTCAAGAACAGCGCATCGAAATCCGGAAGCAGAGGCGCCATGTTTGTTATGGGAAAAGCCAGTTTGAAAGGAAGTCATTGTAGCCACGTTTGTTGAGGGCAAGGAAGGGCAATGGAATGTAGTCGCGGCCATCTTGACTGAGGGCATTCGCCCAGCCAGTGAAGTTTCGCGCTCTTGACAAACAGTTCGGGCAATTTCTGAAGGCTTACTGATAAATGCGCTTGGTGGACGCTAAAGGAAACGGGAAAACATTTAAGTTTTTAAAAATTTAAATTTCAAAAATGTAAATGTCTACGTTTTAAAAAACATGAAGAGAGACATTAACAAAGACAACGCAAGTATTTTAGTAGGTTGCATGCAGTTTAGCCGTGCACAACTGACAGAATTGCATGACCACACAAAGGAGATTGAAGGTTATTGTCCCATTTCACGATCTTCTTGAAAGAATCCTGTACATTCACATCTTCTACGGATGCCTATCTTAGGATAGAACCCCATAAATTTAGGGAATCCTTCACTTGACATGAATATTTTAAATAATGCTAGCTGAGGTTTGGTCAAACCATATGCCAAATTTGAAGGCGAATTTAAAGATAAAATCAGAAGTAAAAACATATTCAGAAAAGTCTAACCCAGCAACTGTAAATTTCAGTTTGTCTTCCAGCATTGGTAATTAACGTGTATAGATGCACTTTTCACCTTTTTTCGTGTAATGTATCTCACAAAAACATTCTTCTAAACTAACATAGATTGTGAGCAGAGAAAGCCTGGAACAATACTAAGTTACTTTCCTGTTTGTTTCATTAAATGATAAACTCAAATATAATTGAATGAACTTAATCATCTAGATTATTATATAATCATTAAAATTGATAGAAGATACAGCAGAAGAAAATCCTAGATCCTGCATTGCATTCTCAGTTTTCATGTTCCTTTGGTCTCCTTTAATCTCCATTTCTCACCTTTCCTCTGTTTTTCTTGCTGTTGACATTTTAAAATGTCTGATGCAAATTTAATTTGTCTGATGTTTCTACCGGGTTTTCAATGACATTGAATACTGTTGGTCACTCTCTCCCTCTGGAAAATTCTTGTCCTTGTGTTCCCTAATATTACCTTCTGGTTTTTCTCTTTCCTCTCTCAAAAATTCATCCAAATTTCCTTTACAAGCTTTTCTTTCTCTCCATTGTGGGCCTTTTCTCAGGATTCTGTCTTAAATCTTCTCTTCTCCTATCTATGCAGATGATTCCCAAACCACCAAGTCTAGTGTCCTCCCGAGAGTCAAATCAACATATCCTCCAGCCACCTTTAATTCAGCCCTTCTCCATGTCTCAATCAACCTGCTCCTACCCCAGGAGCAGTCTCCTGTCCCAGTTGAGTTGGACTATTTAGTTGCCAAAGCCAGGAACTTTTTCTCTTCTTTTGTCAGCATGTCCTGTATTCATCCATAATCGAATCCTCCCCTGCTGATTCTTTCACTTAAAGAACTATCCACTAAACTATTCATTCTCTCCATCCTCGCAGCAACTTTCTGAGTATAGCTCACCATTACCTGCCACCCGGATGACAACATCTTTCCAACTCTCTTGCAACCAGTTAGGGTTTTGGGGGTTTTTTTGCTTTGTTTTATTTGTTTGTTTGTTTTTTATGAAGATTAAGTACACCACTCCCTGAATTTCAGACTAAATCTCAAACTTCTTAACAAGACTTAGAGGACCCCTATGCCTTATCACTGTCCCCCAACCTTCCACCTATACAGGATTTTCTTTCCCTAAATACTCTGTGCTTGCTCTCTTTTGCCTCTGAGCTTTTTACCTGGAATTACCAGGAATTTCCTTCCTTAGGGACACTCTTCTTTGGTCTTTCTTAGCTGTCAGATCTCAGCTTTGAGGAATTCTTCCAGGAAGTGTCTTGACTTTTCAAATGTGAGTTAGTTGTCCCTTCCAGGAATCCCTGCATTCCTCTATTTACCCTGATTAAATTCCTTTGCCTTGGGATGCCTGGGTGGCTCCGTGGTTGAGCGGCTGCCTTCTGCTCAGGGTGTGATCCTGGGATCCTGGGGTCAAGTCCCACATAGGGCTCCTTGCATGGAGACTGCTTCTCCCTCTGCCTATGTCTCTGCCTGTCTCTGTGTCCCTCATGAATAAATAAATAAATTGTTTTAAAAAATTTCCTTTGCCTTTTCTGTTTCTCACTAACTGTAACTGCTCTGAGGGCAAGGACCATGTCTATCTCATACTTACTTGTAGTCCAGATCTCAGCCCAGTTACTCACACATAAGCAAGTGCTCAGAAAGGATTTAATTTTTTTTTATTTTCAAAAAAGTTTTATCTAATTAAGTAATCTCTACCCCCAATGTGGGGCTCGTACTCATGGCCCCAAGATCAAGAGTTGCATGCCATTCCAACTGATTAGGAACAGAGGTCTAGCTGAGGACAAAGCACAGGCTGATATCCCACAAAACAATCCCCTGCTCACAGTGGGATATGTGTGGCTTTCCTCAGGAAGCTTCCAGTTGTCTTCCTGTTAATGCCTTGCTAGAGGGAAAAAATGATCTAACTTGTCAATGGCAAGGCCTCCAATATCTTGTAGGTTCTCCTTAGCATGTGAAAAACCTTTTGAAATCTCACTTTTCCTTACCTCCCCCAACTCCCAGGTATATAATCAGCCACTCCTCACAAACCCCAGGCAGCAGTTGTTCCTGCCCACAGGTCCTGTCCCTGTGCTTTAATAAAACCACCATTTTGCACCAAAGACATCTCAAGAATTCTTTCTTGGCCATCAGCTCCAAACCTCACCCCACCAAACGTTACTTATATTCCAGAACTTCATCACAACAGAGCCAGCCAGGTACCCCAGGACGCATTTTTATATGCATGAATAGTTAAGTTATTTCCCAGGGATCCCCCATTCCCCACTCCTATCCAATTCAACCCATTTAATTTTTTTTTTTTTATGATAGTCACACAGACAGAGAGAGAGAGAGAGAGAGGCAGAGACATAGGCAGAGGGAGAAGCAGGCTCCATACACTGGGAGCCCGACGTGGGATTCGATCCTGGGTCTCCAGGATCGTGCCCTGGGCCAAAGACAGGCGCCAAACCGCTGCGCCACCCAGGGTTCCCCAATTCAACCCATTTAAGAAGTCTCAAAAACATAACTTCTTGGGGCACCTGTGTGGCTCAGTCAGTTAAGTAGCTGACTCTTGATTTTGGCATAGGCCATGATCTTAGGTTCAAGGGATCAAGCTGGGGTAAAGGACTCTGTGCTCAGGGGGAGTCTGCTTGAGATTCTCTCTCTCCTTCTCCCTGTGCCCCTCTTCCAGCTTATGCTCACGTGCGTGCTCTATCTCTCAAATAAATAAATAAATAAAAACTTAAAAAAAAAAACTTCTTCTGACCTGTTAATCAGTGAGACAAACCTTGAAACCTTTGGCCATTGTCACCCTTTCCCTGAAAAACCATTTGCTTACAAACTAATTTTTATTAGGAGAATACTGTGGCCTTTCCATGAGAAGTTTTATCTTTCTGATGGGCTTCCTGGAGCAACTTTCTGAAGTCTCAAGTGACTTTTCTTTGCCACAGAGCATGCCTCTGACCATCCTTTCTTACCACTTTCAATTGGTTAGTGCATAAGAGATGAAAACTAATTGAAGTCATGATCAAGACAAAATAGAGACTTTAGGCTTTAGAAAAATAGAGATTTTATCGCATTCCAAAAGTAAGGTATAAGTTATTTTTGTTCCCCTGATGTTTTGATTGATTATATAATGGCTGTAAAATCTGGGTCATGTCACAATCTTATGAAACCTTTATATTTCATGGTTGATTTTTCTGCCATCAGCTAAGCTAGCTGCTACCGCTGCCAAATCTCTTTCAGCAGAAAGAAGTCACTTTAGGTGAAAGACCAAAATAGCTCTTTCAAAGTGGGATGATGTTGTTTGCAGTTACCTTATCTGTCTTTGTCATTCTGAACCTTGACCTAATTACTCACCCATCTGGGGATTTAGCTTTAAGAAAAAAGAAAGAAAATCTTATAAAAGTTCAAGGGTTAAAAAAAAAAAAAGAAAGAAAGAAAGTTCAAGGGTTACGTAGCTGATGAGTCTCAAAGCATCTTATTGCTTTTCATTCATACAATATTATAAAACCATAATTAAGCAATAAGTAGATAACCAAGGAAAAAAGTGTCAGATAGACTATAAGCTCCCAGACTAGACTGGAAGATCCATGAAAGTGAAGGTATGGATTTTCTGTGCCAATGGATACCCAGCATTTGGACATTGTATATTTATAATGAACATGAGCTTGGACCTTAGTTTCTAAATTCAGTATCAGCGCAATGGTAAAGACTTAAAAAATATTGCTTGATGGACATCACATGACACTAGGGAAAAGGATCCATTTCCTGGCACCCCACACCAGTGAGGGCTTAACAAATGACATGCCATTTCATGATAGGGACAGACACATCTTATCTATAATTCAGAGCCACTCTGGACTAGCCACATTCAAAGGTGAAGAAACAAGTGCCCTTAGTGTAGAGTCAGGAGGCTAA